AGTGGCAGAATTTCAGTCTTAGTATTACTGGATCCAGTGCTGCTTCAACACGGTCGACCACAACATATACTAGACAGACTTGAAAACTGGGTTGGACTTTCTGGCACAGTACTAAAATGGTTTGAATCCAACTTAAAGGACAGGGACTACTTTGTGTCTATAGGTAATCACACATCTGAGCTGACAAAAATGATATGTGGAGTTTCCCAAGGCACCATTCTGGGGCCTCTTTTGTTTAACATTTACATGCTTCCACTGGCTCAGATTATGAAAAACAACAAAATATGTTACCATAATTATGCAGATGACACACAGATTTACATAACCATTTCACCAGGGGACTATGATCCCATACAGGTGCTGAGTAACTGTATTGAGCAGGTCAACGGCTGGATGTGCCAAAATTTTCTTCAATCGAACAAAGATAAAACTGACGTTATTGTTTTTGGAGCCAGGGAGGAACGATTGAAAGTCAGCGCTTGACTTCACTCTGTAATGTTAAGAACCACAAATCAAGCCAGAAAGCTTGGTGTAGTCATGGACTCAGACCTGAATCTGAGGAGCCACATTAAGACAATTACAAAGTCAGCCTACTATCACCTGAAGAATATATCAAGGATTAAAGGACTTTGGTCTTGTCTCAGCAAGACCTGGAAAAACTTATCTATGCATTTATCTTCAGTTGACTCGACTACTGTAACAGTGTCCTTACAGGGCTCTCTAAGAAATCCATCAGACAGCTGCAGCTGATTCAGAACGCTGCTGCTCGAGTCCTCACTAAGACCAAAAAGGTGGATCACATCACTCCAGTTCTGAGGTCTTTACACTGACTTCCTGTATGTCAAAGAATTGAGCTCAAAATCCTGCTGTTTATAAAGCACTAAATGGTTTAGGGCCAAAATACATTTATCTTCTGCTTCGTTAAGAACCATCCAGACCTCTCAGGTCGTCTGGGGCAGGTTTGCTTTCTGTCCCCAGAGTCAAAACTAAACAAGGAGAAGCAGCGTTCAGTTTTTATGCTCCGTATATCTGGAACAAACTCCCAGATAACTGCAGGTCTGCTGAAACGGTCAGTTCTTTTAAATTAAGACTGAAGACTTTTCTTTTTACCATTGCTTTTAATTAAATATTTTAGATTTTTACCACTGCCTTTAACTAGTAGATTGATAACTTACACTTTTTTTTTTAAATGTGTATTTTTTCAGTTTCCCTATTTTGCTTTTAAACTTTTTTATATTTCCCTGTTGCTTTTATGTTTATGTAAAGCACTTTGAATCACCTTGTTGTTGAAGTGCTATACAAATAAACTTGCCTTGCAAGGTCTATTTTAGAGTTAGTTGCATATTTCATGGAACATTAAATGTAACTATACACAGTAAATGGATACATTTTACACCCCAGATATTTAACCCCTTTTTTCCTCCCCCCTGCAGATTTTGCATTGAGACCCCTGAGGAAACTATGGAAGAAATACTGAGACGCCTGGCCTGCTTTCACACACAGTTTATGAAGGATTTTTCTTAAACAAAAGGCGCTTGAAAAAGTTGAACTATTTTCTTCTCTCACTTCCACTGATCTGCAGGTCATTACAAACAATAAAAAGGATCCAATCATTTTCCTCATGTTGGCATGTGAATATTTATTGTGATAAATTTGATATTACATACTGCAGGCAGTCTTTTTTTAAATGACCTTTGGCCAATGATCCTTTGTTTTTACTCGTTAAGAGTAAATTTTAAACTTCTGATTTTCAGAAAGCAAATAACCATAAATAAACCACAGTCCAAAATCCAGATGAATGGATTTCCTCACACCACATGGAGGTTTATCATTTACCCCAAAGGTAACAGTAGCAGACAGCAGTCCACTGTGGATTTGTGCTCTTCAAGAGTCCTGAACATTTTAGCACATTAAGTACCGATTCATATTTAAAAAAAATAAACTCATACAAATGAAATCCCACCATCCTTTTTGGTTTCTCTGCACCAGCCAGCAGAACAAACATGTAAAAAGTGCTCAATGTCATCAGTCCACCTCACCGTCACTGTTATGGTTCTGAACAAAAGGGTTAGAGTCTGTATTGTTGAGCAACTGTACGAGTAAGGAGATGAGCTTTCCATCTTGAGAAGAGTTGGTGACTGCATTGCTTGGATTATTGAGGTTGCGGTACATCATGGTCTGAATTGAAGTGCGTAGCTCCCACAGCAGCTCCCAGGTCTCGACGGGCAACTCGCAGCGCACCAGAGAGCGTCCGGGAAGCGTCACTTCCACTCTGTCTCCGTTCACTGGGGGATGAGAGACAGGACAGAGATTTACTTATGAAAAGATGATTTACTGCAAGTTGCAAATCTAACAGGGTGAATATATTGTAGTTACTTTTTTGGTAGTACATGTCCTACCCCTTTCTGTGATATCACAGTCTGTCAGCAGCAGCAAGGCGAGTGGATGGACCGCAGAGGAGTCTCTGATAAAAACATTCCCGCTGGACTTAACAGCGCTGAAGAAGGTCAACCAGCGACTAGGCAGCTCTTTTCCTCTGCAACACGAAAAGGAAGACAATAAGTTTACATACTTCATATTAAAGTAAATGTATGCTGTGGTTGAATTTTCCAGCATGTTCAAACCTGTTCACTGAGGAGCGGTGAAGCAGTACTGGCCCACTAAATGTGCGGAAAGTCATACTGTTGGGGCGAAAGCGTCCTCCTTTGGTCACAACACCTTTCTTCACCTGAGGAAGAAGAAAAAAAAAAAAAAAAAAAAAGTATGTCTAAATGTTCACCTCTAAAATGACAATTATAACAAAATGGTATTTGCAAACAGACAATTAAAGACTCCACTACCACAGCGGTCGAAAGGTCCTAATTGAAGTTATTTATTTAAGAGGCAGCCATGGTAAGATCTGGTCGAAGTCTCTAAATGTTAAGAAAAGGTGCTTCAGTGCTTCCTTTGTTACCTCTTTTAGCATAGTGTACACTCCTTTAAAGGAAAGGAGATAATGCCATCCCAAAATTCCTCGAGGCAGCAACATTTTACACCATGATGGATAAAGGACGTCGATCACCTGCTATTAAGCCTCCTCTTTTATGCCATAACTTGCTAATAACAAAAATTTAAGTCCATATGTGAGCTATGAATGTTATTACTCTTGTAAAATGATCAAATTGAGGACAATGTTGCAGCGTCAACATTATATGCTCAGTCTACAGTCAACAAAAAGTCAAGGATCATGCTAGATAACCTCTTCAGTAAATGTAATGTATTATTTACATAAATAACTGGAATTCATGTTGATTACTGGGGCGGGGTGGGGGGGGGGGGGGGGGGGGTTAGGGTTAGTTTGTATTAGACCACAACAAAAGTAATGGAACAAATAATCTTAAAGTTAATAACATTTAATATTTGGTGGCATAACCCTTGCTTGCAATAACTGCCTCAAGCCTGCAACATCAAACTGTTGCATTCTTCATTTGTAAGGCTATTTCAGGCTTTTACTGCAGCGGCTTTCAGTTCTTGTTTGTTTTGGGGTGTTTCTATTGGGTTAAGGTCAGGTGATTGACTTGGGCAGTCTAAAACCTTCCACTTTTCCCCCCTGATGAAGTCCTTTGTTTTGTTGGCAGTGTGCTTTGGGTCATTGTCCTGCTGCTTGATAAGCTTCCACCCAATTAGTTTCAATGTATTTCGCCGTAAATTGGCAGACAAAATGTTTCTGTACACTTCTGAATTCATTCTGCTGCTACCATCATCAGTTACGTCAATAAATATTAATGAGCCTGTTCCAGAAGCAACCATGCATGCCCAAGCCTTGACATTACCTTCACCATGCTTCACAGATGAGCTTGTATGCTTCAGATCATAAGCAGTTCCTTCTTTCTCCACACTTTGGCCTTTCCAGCACTTTGGTAGAGGTTAATCTTTGTCTCAGTCCATTAGATTATGTTCTATAACTTTTGTGGCTCATCTCTGTACTTCTTTGCAAATTTCAGCGACGAGGAT